GCTTGTGCACCCTAAGGATAGTGTTGGCCATCTCGATAAGAAAGAAGTCATCTACAAGATCCCATGGGAAGTTTGTGATACCGTATATTGTGGCCAAACGGGAAGACCGGTCCCAACACGCGCCTGCGAGCATCAACTGGCAGTGAAGAGATGTGAACAATTTTCCGAAGTGGCACGGAAAAAACACCCATCGTCGTGGTTTTCCTCTTCAAAAAAGGCCGAAAATTTCTTGAGGCCATGTACTCCGATGAATCATGCATCATCCGGCACATCGAGTTGGATGGTGTGTACAAACATCTCAAGGAAAGATGGAAGACACAACAGCCGATTACTACGGACCAACGTGAACCACAACTGGTAACTAGCGTCCACCCCGGATGACTATTAATTTTCCACCCTGTACTAACAAAAATTACAGCTGCCAATTGAAAATTGCGCTATTATGCCTACTAGTTTTGTCCACCATGGACTGACGCAAATTGCAGCTGCCAATTAGCGCTCACACTAGCTGACTACATAACCGTAACAGCACATTTGACATTTTAATTGTTCTTTGCACATCTACCCAAGTCTGAAGACGGCCTGGGGATCCAGCGTCGAAAATTTACTGAATAAAGTTTCGCAATTTTCCCAAAGAACGTGTCTCGCTGAAATTAAATTTCTCGGGATGCCAGTCTTCCATTGTTTGTGGACAGCATAAATGAACGCACACAGTTGAAGTCCACGATCGCTCACTTTCAATTGCGAAACACAACATGAGCCGCCCGCACCGTGTTCTTCCGGTGGCCATACTGGCTAAGGTACAAGGGCTGCATTCATCAGCGTCTCTGCTACAGCATGCAAGTACCCGCCCCGCCTCGGACAGGCAATGTCAAAGTTATTAAAAGCAGCCTAAAATATATATGATGCAGTAATCGTAACAGCTATCCTCTGTACTTTATGGACAACACTGGGCGTCACCGTTCATCCTTACTGGAAGTACATTTAGTGCCGTGTGAGCTTACCAAACCAGGCTTTGGTACATTTTACTAGTCAATTGTAAGCGCTTTAGCCACAGCGTAGGCCACCTGTGTAACAGCCTAGAAGGCATGTTTTGTAGACATCTAGATGAGGAATATGGCCGTTTGAATGAGAAAAAAAGAAAAAAACATCCAACGACAGAGTTAACCGAAGGAGTCGCAGCGCTGGGCTAAGAGGGCTAATTTGGGAGGTTTGAGGACAAGAATTTAAACCTTGTGACTTAGCCTAGGAAATTATCACATTCAAACTGACCACAGCCTAAACCCAATGGTATCAGAAGTCCAGTGAGATAAAAGCTAGACCAAAAGGCGAAAAAGAATTAATGTAATGTAAGATCACAAAGTTAGATCAGACAATGGATGAGCTAGACATGGCTGTCGTGACCTTAGGACTTCTGTAAACAAAGCGTGATTGGGTAAGTGAGTATTAAAGTACGCAAGCAGAAAATTGGAAAAACACAAAGGACGGTCTTTGATCGAATGAGATTTATCATCTTTTCCCAGATGCAAATTTGAAGGTGGCAAAAACAGCAGAATTTATTGGATCCACGAATTTCGAGAGCGCTTCTCAGCTGCTACCTCTCATTGCTTAGTGCCTCAAAGATACTTTACTGAAGCGGGAATATCTAGCTCATTTTATAGACAAGCACAGTAAACCCTTGCGGTCTGAAATGACGGAACAGTTAGTTCTTAAAAAGCCTCTTTTCATATCCTTGCAATTAAAGGGTGACAAAATTTTAAAGACCATCAAGGGACGCCTACTTAACGCCATTAAAGGAACATACTACGCTGCTGAACTCATATTTTGTTTACCAAGTAAGCCCTTACCAATTCCTTGTGCGAAGGACGCCTTACCATTGCATGCCACTTCCAATTGTGTTGACGAATTTACATGCACTTAAGGATACAAGCATATAGGGCGAACGCAACGGCAACTGGCAGGCAAAGCCAAGGAACACTTGCCTATTGAAACAGGAAAATCGAACCCCTCGATCTTCCATTACTGAACACTTGCTAGATACGGGTCATGCTGTGTGCCCTAAAATTTCTTTCCGAGTACGTGTTCGGGCACGAAAAACTCGTACCTTGCGCTACCTAGAGGTAGCCTATATACGGCGGTCAAAACCTGACCTTTTTAAACAGCTGGAGCATACGGGTAGCCTAATTTTGCCTTGGTAACATCTGGCTGCCCGATTTACACAGTTCCCTGTCCACCTTTTCGCCCTAAAGCCTTTTTTCCTCTGTTTTTCTCTCCACATTGTTTTAAATCGCTAACTTTACTAATTAGCGTTCGTGACCATGCCCTATGGCCTTATTGACTTTTCTGTACGAGTTTAATTTTTGTATTTTCTCATTCGTTACTCAATTAGAAGTAGCAGCTGATGAGCACTCTTGAAATGCATGGATCCCATAAATTCAGCTATTTTTGCCATCTCTCCATAATTTTTGGGCGCTATTTTGCGAGCACACTCTTCGAATGATTACAGTATTGTGATCTTTGACTAGTTTATTTTAAAAATTAAACCTACCACGTTCTCAAAAGGGCATTTAGCTATTCAGTGGGTCACACTGTCGTTTGAGAGTATGCAACAGGCATGAAAGAAGATTGATAGAATGAGGTTAAATGGTTGTGAAAGACTCACAGAATATGGCTGCGCTCGTCGGGTTCCACTTCGACGGGCTCCGCCTTTGCCTCAATGGATTCCATGGCGGTGGAATAGGCAGTGATGCGTTTTTGAAATTTCGCGCGGAATGGATTGCGGAGGAAGGGTGAGGCGGTCTTGGGGGGTGTGGTGTTGCGGGTACCGATGAGACTGGAGGGTGTAGTGGATCTTACTTCACCGGAAGCACTGGCTCGATTTGGTGCCGGTTCGGAGAGCGTACCAACACCTTCGTCGCCTTGGCTTTCGGTTAGGGAGGTCGGCGACTTGGCTGAAAGATCACAGACGGAATAGTTCGTTTATAAGCTATGGGA